AATGACAAGAAAGAGATCAATAAAGCACTGTGAAGGAAAATTTTAAAGGAAATAATGCTTCCAGATTTATGTGCAATATTTCATTGGGCACCCCAAAGGAAGTAATTTGATTATTTGCAGAGATAAATTTGTACATCTTTTAAAGTAGTATCTGTGATGAGTTACTAAACAGTATGGAAATTTAATCTAAGTATTAAGTTATTTTCATATGTACCAGATACTGTTAAAAATGATGATATAATATCCAGTGACCACAGGATAGGAATAGTGCATCATTCTGGTAGAAATTGTACAGCTACCACCAAGGCTGTTGGAAACTGCAACTTTGCTGTTGCAGCTGCAGCAAGAGCTATGCTATTTTACATTTAAAATTCTCTAATTATCATGCTGAATAAAATCCATATATGTTATTCTAGTACACCACCATCAGATAACTTCTCTGAACAAATTATTTATAAATGAAGATCCTGCTGTGTAACTATTTGATACCAGACGTATTCTTATCCAGATTCAGGAAAATGTAACTCAAACGTTGGAAAGTGAACATAGGTCTGCATAGGTGTCCTGAGCATTCAGTAGAGAAATAAAGGGTCCTTAAAGACAGGTTCATGTTGGAACTCAGTCCAGACCATGAATTTATGTATTAATTTGAAGGCAAGTAATTTACAAGTCTGCATCAAAGTTACTGTACACTTTTATAGTTAATGGAGACAAATAGGGACACATGCAGCTTAATTAAGCAAAAATAAGGCTATTTTAGCACCGACTTCAGTATGAACTGAACTCCACTCTAGATACAGAAATATCTCCACACTGATTATAAATACAGCCTAGACAACTGGATCAGATGCTGGCTTTTACGATGTAGGTACCTACATTTGATCTAACAAGCCTTCTGGGATACCTCTGCTTGTGGTTCAAGACAGCAGAAGAATAATCAGATCCAAATCAGCAGCATTAGTCATAGCTGCAGATTGAAACTAGAGTTGTTTGACTTTGAGCTGGTACAGGTCTCAGACAGAGTGAGTTTGCAACCTACTTCAAAGACCTTGTATAGACACATCCCTGGAGTGTATGGGGAAAATGTTACAACTGAGTCTTAAAGCTTTTATAAATATTGCATGTATAAATCACATGCTTTTCAAAAATGAGTAAAATATTTTTGAATTCTCTAATTTGGTATAAAGCATGGGTAAATTGTGTTCAGAGTTTTAACTGAGGACACTAAGCTCTTTTTTAAGGCATCCAGAGTGATGGATGGAGACAAGAAGACATGGAAAATGGCAATGGAGGTGTGTACAGCTGTCAGGAAGGGAGAACCAGGAGCTAATATCAAAAAGAAGCATTGCTCTTTATAAAGTTTATAATGCAGAAAAGCAGAACAAATAAAAGATTTTTCAAGGAAAGGATGTGGATTTAGTACAGCGAGCGAGGAAGATGATCCTATCTGTTTAACTTTGGAGGTCAAGTGGCTTGTCACAGAAAAAGGGTTTCAAGTAAATGAAATGGAAAATTACAGAGATCTAAGAAAGATATTTTGGGAGCACATTACAAAGGAAAGTAATATATTTTCAGTTGGGAAAAGATACTGTGCTGTGGCAATAGCCAGTATTCAGATGACACTCCCATAACAGAATGCTTTGACTCAAGAATGCTGTAACACAGCAGCCTGCTATCCTACAGACAGCAAGCTTGTGGACCCTCATAAATATAGGATATTTTGTCTTTCTACCTTTTTCTTTTGCTCCTTCTTAATTTTGCTCCTGTAATTAAAATTAAACACTTATAACTCTTTCATCTGGCCCAGATGAATTAATGAATTTAGGTGCCTACAAGCCTAGGCAGCTCTAGGTACTAATTTGCTCCCTAGTTTTGAATAGATTTCAGGATGTGGCCTGGGTGCCACCCCTGATGAAGCAGAAGCAGCAATTAGCAGAAGTGTAAAAATCAGAATGATATTTCCTGGCTGTGGCTTCTTTTTACAGCACAAGCATATGCCAAGCACAACTGCACTCAACATTTATCAGAAAGAAAAAAACAAAAACAAAACAAAACAAACAAACACAAAACAAAACAAAACAAAAACCAAACAAACAAAAAAACAGATTTCCAGCTGTCTTGTTGACAGGTACTTACTTTGCATTGCTCTGCCTCGGTAATAGATTGTACTTATGATCAGAAATAAAGCATCTTCTTATACCCCTGTCACCCACCCTTTCTGCCCTTTACACATCAGTATTTATATGCACATTTAGTACTTTAGTGCTCACACAACTGCACAACAAGTAACGCTAGATAGCACTGTTTCTTTTAAGATCTTCCTTACAGATCTCTGGTAGATACTTAATCCTGACCTGACACTGCCCTCGTCTTTTGGAAGTGGGATGATATTTGAAATTATGCTTCTATGAGAGCCTGTAGAGCAGAGAATGGGGACATTTAGGTTGAAGTGTTCATTCAATCTTTGTGCCCAGAGTTAAGAATCATGTTAGACAGAAAAGCTTAATTTTCAGAAGGGCAATATGACCACAAATGTGCTGGGTAATTAACATCCCAACAGTCCATTTAAGTAACTTAATAATGTTATCTCTGATTTACTGAGCAGGCCTCTGGCTCACAAATCAATGGCACAGCCAGAAGGAGATCCCAGAGCATGTAACTCCCCTTCTAGTGCTCTCATCATTAAGCAATGAGTCAAGTTTAAACCTCTGCAGATATTCTGTGGATAGAACTGGTAACCTCCAGCAGCAGGTGGGGTCAAAACACAGGCATGCACTCACCAGGGACCTCCAAAGTAATATCAGATCTGCCCACACCTTCATTCCCTATGCAACTTCCCAGATTTTGACTGTCTCACAGAGAGAGTCAAATACAGCCTCAACCCAGTAGTGGCAGTAACATAAGCTCCCCCCAGGGCCAAAATTTCTGATCACACACTCAGAAATATCCATGTGAACAATCCCCCTTTTAATGTTGTTTCAGTATAAATTATGCACTGCTCCTTTCCAGCCAACTTTTTTTTATCAGCAAAAGTTATTTGGTAACGTTTTTGTTTTCATACTGAGTTTTGATTAAAGAGGAGGAAAAAAGAGCCTCATTTCATTTTCACAGTATCTCTCAGCAGAGCAAGCACTCCTGTTTCTACTGTGGGATTTTGTTTTTCTCTACAGTATGTCTTGACAAATAGCCCTCTCTGATTACTGTGCTTGCACAAGATTTCATTATGGTTTTGATAACATGCCACAATCTTTAAGTTTCGGTTTGATATAAAGAGTCTGTCCCTGAACAGTAATCATGAGAGAGTGGGGAATATTGAGTGTTAGAGTTTCCATATTTTACGAGCTGCCAAAATAAATGATTTAGGGCAGTGAAGCCTGTATTAGTAGCAGATCTCCAGCTTCACTAAAGTAAGAAACAGTGCTGATGAGTAAGCCAGTTTGTGAGAACTTATTTTTAGGGCTATTACGATTTCAGTCTTCAGGGTGCAGATTCTCAGGTACTATGAATTGATCTAGTTGCATAGTCTTCTGTGCAGTTGTGAATTCTGCACTGATGATTCTCTTCCAAGCCCATGCCCTTCTAAGCATCTGATGCTGATGAGAGAAGACTCTTCCAGGCATGTCCAAAATTTTCATCTTAACTCTGCCCAACACAAGCATCATTTTGATGATTTTCAGCAATTATTGAGGTCTTTCTGATCCCTGCTATGTTAATTCTGTATCTAACTGTAGAAATTGTATCAGTCAAAGGGGAGTCAAGTTAGTTTTAAACTTTGGCTGGCTGCAAAAGAGGAGTAATACACCAGAGATCAAAGAGAAATATTTTCCAAGGACCTCATCCAAGGGAACTCCTTTTGGATGAAAATATTCCAAGGGCCACACAGAATGAAAAAAGCCTCTCCAGAGGCCAGAACTGCCCATTTTCAGAATCTCTGTGTTAACAACTTCCAATTCCTTGTTTGAGCAAACTTCTCTGGTGGTTCCTGTTTCACTGTATTGTTTATTATCTGTCTACTTGGGAAATTTTATGTAGGTACCGTTTCCCAACACATTAATTTTATCTTATATGTATCTTAAAAAGCAACACTGAACCGCTCCCTAAATCTGACATGCAAGGTTGTGTGAAGTTGTTTTTCTGCAAAGTTGCTAACTTCTGCATAAATTTCTTGTTTTCATTTGTCCAAGCAGTGGAGTTTCACTAGAAGTGAACAAAACTGAGATGACAGGATATTATCTAAGCAGGATTGTCATCACTCTTTTTTTTTTTTTTTTTTTAAACTGAGACTTAAAACATAATCAGAGAAAAGAACAGTGGAGTCTTTTGTAGATGGCTCAAATTCTGTATAAATCAGTAATGAGTTAGAATATTGCTACCAAAATTCCAGATTATGTACTGGCCTGACTATATACTCCATTACTTTCTCTCACAAGCCTGAGAGTTTTTGCATGATTCAGCTTGCTGAATTTATTCCCAATTAGTCATGGTGATTTCCCTTCTTTTGCTTACAGAACTGATGAGTAAAGATCTTGCTTCCGAAATAGCATCCCACACTTGATATACTTTATTTTACTAAATCTACATAGGAAGGAAGGAAGGAAGGAAGGAAGGAAGGAAGGAAGGAAGGAAGGAAGGAAGGAAGGAAGGAAGGAAGGAAGGAAGAAATTTAAATTGTTTTTATTGCAATTGCTGTATAAAAAATATAAAATATAGTGATCAAGTGAAATCTATTGTCTGCTATGCGTTGTCCTGAACAACAAAGATTTTGAATGTCACATTAGCTTGGCTATTAACCTTCCTGTGTAGTCATATTATTTTCAAATTACACTTTCAAAGACCCTTGCTTATTTTAAGGAGTGTACGTGGCTTCATAGTCAGAAAGGAAATTATCTGAACTTTTGACTTTTCTAAGAAGAAAGGAGGGGAAGGGGAAAGGGAAGTGGAAGGGGAAGTGGAAGGGGAAGGGGAAGGACAGTAAATCACAGAATCAAGGAAACTGGAAGTGATGTCTGGAGGTTTATTGCAATATCCTCATCAATGCATGACTATTAACAGCAGTAGATCAGAGTAGCTGAGGTTAACTTGAGGCAAATCTTGAAACCTTCCAAAGACAGATCTTCCACCTAGATGTGATTTCCAGTGTTGTTCTACTCTCCTATTGAGGATTTTTTTCTTAATGTCCAGGGTGAATTTCCCAAGCTGCAACAAGTTGCTCTTACTCCTTCTTAAATTGTCTGCTACTAATGAGAAGAGTTTGGACTTATTGTTACTGTAAATGTCCTTCAAATACTTGTAGGATATTGTTAAATCACCACGTTGTCTCCACAACTGCTGAATGCAGGTGCATCTTCCTTCATTCCGCTGGACACACTCCTCCTAGTGTAACCCATGATGCCGTTTTCTGCACTTGTGATAAAAGCACCAAGTTGGCTATTAGTCCACCTCGTGTTCCCTAGATACCCAAAGTCCTTTCAACAAGGTTGCTGCTCAGCCTGTTGATTACTTGATTGTGTTTACTCTGCTCCAGGTGCAAATCTTTGCATTTCTCCTTGATGACCTTCATGAGACTTCTGTTAACATAGTCCTCAAGTTTCTTCGGGTCCCTCTGGTTTGGAACTCTCCTGTTCACAGAATCACACAGAATTTCTAGGTTGGAAGAGACCTCAAGATCATCGAGTCCAACCTCTGACCTAACACTAACAGTACCCACTAAACCATATCCCTAAGCTCTACATCTAAGCGTCTTTTGAAGACTTCCAGGGATGGTGACTCCACCACCTCCCTGGGCAGCCCGTTCCAGTGCCTCACAACCCTTTCAGTAAAGAAATTCTTCCTAACATCTAACCTAAAACTCCCCTGGCGTAACTTTAGCCCATTCCCCCTCGTCCTGTCACCAGGCACATGGGAGAACAGGCCAACCCCCACCTCTCTACAGCCTCCTTTAATGTACTTATACAGAGCAATAAGGTCACCCCTGAGCCTCCTCTTCTCTAGGCTGAACAAGCCCAGCTCCTTCAGCCGCTCCTCATAGGACTTGCTCTCCAGGCCCCTCACCAGCTTCGTCGCCCTTCTTTGGACCCGCTCAAGCACCTCGATGTCCTTCTTGTAGCGAGGGGCCCAAAACTGAACACAGTACTCGAGGTGCGGCCTCACCAGAGCCGAGTACAGGGGGACGATCACCTCCCTAGCCCTGCTGGTCACAGTGTTTCTGATACAAGCCAGGATGCCGTTGGCCTTCTTGGCCACCTGAGCACACTGCTGGCTCATATTCAGCCGACTGTCCACCATCACTCCCAGGTCTTTCTCTGCCTGGCAGCTCTCCAACCATTCCTCTCCCAGCCTGTAGTTCTGCTTGGGGTTATTGCGCCCCAGGTGCAGGACCCGGCACTTGGCCTTGTTGAACTTCATACAGTTGACCTCAGCCCATCGGTGCAGCCTATCCAGATCCTCCTGCAGAGCCTTCCTACCCTCGAGCAGATCGACACACGCACCTAGCTTGGTGTCATCTGCAAACTTACTGAGGGTGCACTCAATGCCATCATCCAGATCATTGATGAAGATGTTAAAGAGGACCGGCCCCAGCACCGAGCCCTGGGGGACGCCACTAGTGACTGGCCTCCAACTGGACTTGGCTCCATTCACCACAACTCTTTGGGCCCGGCTATCCAGCCAGTTTCTAACCCAACGAAGCGTGCGCCAGTCCAAGCCAAGAGCAGCCAGTTTCTTGAGGAGAATGCTGTGGGAGACGGTGTCAAAAGCCTTGCTGAAGTCAAGGTAGACCACATCCACAGCCTTTCCCTCATCCACCCAGCGCGTCACTTTGTCGTAGAAGGAGATCAGGTTCGTCAAGCAGGAAATGTATCAACCCCTGGCTGTATCAGTGTATCAACCCCTGGCTTCTCTGTTCAATTAAATATTGTACACATTTGTCAAGAGTGTATTATGTATCATTGTTGAGGTCATCAATTAAGATACTGAACAATGTCAGTCCTAGTATCAACTCCTAGGAAGCTCTACTTGTTGCTGCCTGCCAATCTGTTGTTGCACCACTAGTTAAAATGAAGTGCTCCAGCCAATTTTCAATCCGTCTTGCAGACAGTTTGTCCAGCCCAGATTTCCTCAGCTTACAAAAGATGGTGTGGGAGATGATGTCAACAGTTTTACAGAAGTCACAGTGTGTTACACCCTTATGTGCACAGATGCTTATGTCTTCATCAAACATAGCTGGGCTTAACTCTGATAATGTTGACTGTTCCTGATTATATTTCTATTCTTCATGCTCTTGGAAGTGGTAGCAATGTGACAGAGTGAAAACTCTTCTGATGGAATAGGTAAAAATATATACCAAAATGTTCTACCACTCAATGCAAATACTTAAGTATGACTACAAATTAAACCAGTGCTGGTTGTGATGATTCCAAATAATTCATCTCTTGAATATCTACTTCTCCTTAACAGAGCTTCATTATTCCTGAAGGTTTGATTCTTCTTGTCTTGGTAATAATATAGGTATGACAATATAAGAGCACTTATAACTATGTAAAGACATAATGTTGTTAATAAATAAAGTTTGCTCGTAGCACCAGAAAAATTTGTCTCTTTCAATACCTGGTTCTCCTAATATCATTCCCTTTTCTCCTATTTTTTTTTTTTATTCTCTCATGACCTTTAATAAACTATTTTAAATATTAATATTATCAAATATCACTCATGTACCCAGGTCAGGATATATAGCTTTTTTCACACCTCCCACAGTTGTTCTTTTAGGGTTTCCATAAACGCAGATAGACATCAGTGTATCAGTTACATTTATGCCATGTGTTCAGGACTTCCCTTAAAGCATTAGGATTAGCATCTAATATTTTAAGCTGTTAAATATATCATAATGTAATGTAAAAATAAATAAATAAATAAATAAAAACTAAAATTAAAAGGATTTTGTTTTGGTCAGACTGAAACCATTCAATTGATCCCAAATTAATTAAATCTTGCAATTTCCTTGCAGAGAATTTTTGAAATTTTCAAGTGCGGAAAAAAGCCAAGGTTTTAAATCCTTTGTGGGAAAAAAAAAAAAAAAAAAAAAAGATTCTCATTCCCTGCAGAGCTGTAAAATTCAAGTAACAAACATGTACATGTTTTATCCCCTCCTAAATCATGTCAGCTTCCTGCAGTCTAATGCCAGCAGTTCCTGTCAAAGGTATAAGGTATAAAACTGTTCTGGTAGGAGCTGAGCTTCAGAGACTTCCTGGATAACATGGAGATTGTAAAAAATCCAAAATAGATTGGGAGGGAAGGCTGCATTCATGTGAAACCGGGAAGCTCTGTTCCAAGTTCAGAGGTGAGTTTTAAAGGGTCATGATCTGCTTGTTTGTTAGGATAGCCTTAAGCTTTTCTTTGGAGAGATGCAACTTGAAGAAGAGCATGTGAAGCTAATAAAAAATTAAATAAATAAATAAATAAAAATAAAAATAAAAATAAAAATAAACTAACATTTATAGCTTTCTTCAGATGGAGTTTTTGTGAAAGTTTTGAGAAGGAATATGTATCCTTACTGGAGTTAACAAAACTGGTGAGAAAATAAATAAGGTGAGAAAATATCATTTTTTCAGGGAAAAAAATCCAAACCATTTCAGAGAAGGAACTGAAGCCACAGTGGAAATAAGCACCTAAATAATATTTAGTTAAAATAAACATATAAATAATATTTAGTTACCTGTGCCAAGCTGTCTGACCTTGTGCCAGTTTAAGATGAGTATAAATCAGAAGATATGCAGAATGATGTAGGATCACTTTGGAACAGTCCTTAAAAGTAGAAAATAAATTTTTAAATCAGGAAAATGAAGAATATATTCAGTGGTTCACTCACAGTCACAGCAAGATACAGGTATTACAAAACCAATACACTACCCAGAGTATCTTCTGTCCTGTGCTAGATTTTTCTCCATAGGATAGTCTCCCCTTATTCTGACTTATCTAGTTAAATGTTCCAAAGAAGTTTACACAATGAAAAATGTTATTTGGGAAAGTGTTCCATAAATAAGTCTATAGAATCTTTTTCTCAGTGAGAGAGCTTTTTTTTTGGATCTAAATCCTAAGGCTGTGTTTACCCTAAAATTGAGCATCTGCAATAAATATAAATTGATCTATTCTAATTATTTCAAATCCTGTAGAACTGTTTTTGTCAGTTGTAGAGCTGGATTTTCATTCATTTCAGCTGGCACATACAAATATCCAGCCCAGGGGTTTTGTAAATTGCCTGTGTTAGCTGAGGCAGTCCGTGGGTGCAGTGGGTGATCTTTCAGAAATCCACATCTTGGTTCACCTCAGTGCAGCTTACGCAGTGACTTGGACCCATTTCTATGAGAAATTAATGGAAGTTGCTGAAATCAAAATAAAGAATTACATGTTTGTGTATATAGCTCCTTAATTCACAAACTTTAAAACCTATTTTAATAAACTCGTATAACTTTCCTTCTTGACTAGCTGTTTTTTCTTTTAATTTCATAGCATTAAATAATAAGTATTTCCTATGTATCCAACAGTACACATTTTTTTTTCTCTTTCATGGCTGTTTCCTTTCTTCACCTAGATTATTGTGAAATCCTTTTTTTTTTTTTTTTTTTTTTTTTTTTTTATTGTGAAATCTCTAAATATTCTGTGTTCTTAGCACAGTGGGCTGTAAACCTGTTTTATCTCTTTTACTTTATCACTTTTACTAGTCTGCTGCAGCTTGGTAAATCAATCTTGATACTAAAGTCCATTAGTTTTAAGACAGTTACATGAGGTTGTGGAGGTAGACACAAGTTGTTGGAATTGCATTGGTGGAACAACCTTTTCTAGCATTTCTGAGTTATTAAAAGCAGCAAAAATGAATACTACTAACGGATTTTATTCACAGTATTAAATCAATAGTAACAATAATAGTTTAATGCTAATAAAATGACAGATACAATTAATAGTTGAAAACTGCACCATCATATGGAAAGCAACCTTGACAACATATGTCTATATGGATAGACATTATCTAATAATAATCTAATAATGTCTATCCATATCATACTGATTTGCAATGGAAATTTAGGTCTTTTTATCTTTCTCTTAAGGCCAACAACTTTCTTGTATGTTGGTAATTGTCAAAGACAAGATTGCACACAGTCTAATTTGAATAGGAGTTATGGCTTGGTCAGGGCTATCAGAAGGTCAGGCAGTTCTGGTAAATGTTTAGCAATCAGAAAATCTGAAAAGTTTGAAAATAAAAATCATCATTGCCAAATAAAATATAAATCTGTCACTTTTAATTCCAGTGTAATCAATGAAAAAGTGTATTATCTTCTCAAGTTAGGTGTTTTTAATACAGTTTAGACACTTTTAATGTTTCCAGTGCATTTCAAATTCATGTTATATCTAATGTGTGTTAATGTGCCTAGGCTTTTGTCAGAATTATTGGTGTCTGGTCAATTTTCAGAATTTATGTGATTTTTTTCTGACATTTGATGTTTTTATTGTCTTCATTTCTTTTCTTTTTTCTTTCTTTTTTTTTTCTTTTTGCCATTTTATTTTCTTCTACTGTATTAGTTCTCTCTAAGCATTCTCTGTTCCTAAAAATCTTTGAAAATGCTCCAAATTAGCTTCTGAAGTACATACCCATTTTAAGAATGTGAGAAATCCCACTGACCTTAAAGTAGTGCCTCATATTCTCAGAGATGGGCACACACTTAAATACAGCACTGAAATGGGGTTTTAATGCTAAGTTCCAAACAAATTTATTCTGGAACCTGGTATTTTGGTAAAAGACATTTCTGCCATCAGCTGCTCCTCATCTGTCTTTGGCTCTGGCCAAGAGGCTGCCCTCCCTACAGCTTTGCTTGGCAGAACATCACTCTTCTGGTCTTGCACTCCTGTCCCAATGTTGGGTAGCACCTCTGGACACAGTTCAGCCCAACACCACAAACTGGTGATGCTGATGTTGGTAGCCACCTCCACCTACTGCCCTGGTTGTCTACCATGGCCCAGCTCCCTTTCCTCAGGCACTAACGTGTAACTCAGAAAAAAACTTAAACTTTTGGAGCTCAATATAAAAGTGATTTAAGGTGCAGAATGCAGTGTGCCAGGAAACACTTCATTATGATTGTAGGTGTTACCCAAAGTGCACTAGTGTGTTTAGCATTTTAGATTTTCTACCCTATAACACATGACACAAAGTTTATGTTGCACATGCTTATGTCAGAAAAGGTGTTATAAGTAGAAAAACGGGGAAGGAATTAAAAAGAACAAACAGACTGCTCCATGCACTCAGTTTCACAAATAGCTTCTCCAAAGTAGTATCGTTTTAGAAGATGAATCAGAAAAAGACTATTTACTTCTCTGTGAGCCAACAGAACCAAAGTGATTCATTCAACATGACTGAAACATTAGACATCTGTAGCATGGTCAGCAAACATCCTGCTCCTTTATATTCATTATCAAAGAGCCATTGGCAGAACCCAAATTGAAAAGTTGTTTGTTTATTCTGGGGACAATTCATTGTATTTTTTCCAACAGTCCTTCCTACTGTAAGCTAACCTGCATTCATTTAGGGCCAGGCACATCACTGTAAATTATGTCCCATGAAGCAAGAGATGGAACAAATTAATATGGAAAGCTTTTATTTTTAAAACAACACCAACAAATGGCCACAATCAACAACAAAAAGGTCTCATGAACTGGAATTATGAATAAATTACACATACATAGGATTCACTTCCAAGAAAGGAAGGTCAAACAGTTAAAGGAATTTTGAAACTTTGACTGGGACCTATGTGATTACTCAATATTTCTCTCATCAGTTGTTATAAACGTATATATAAGGATGAAAAGCTCATTTAAGGCAGGAAGGATAGCCTGCTGGAAATGGCATGGTAGTTGAATTTAGGAGTAGTGCTGTCTAAATAACTAATCTTTCCACTCTTTGGCTGAACTAAGAAAAAAATTATTTCAGGTCAACCCAAAATGACCTCTTTGTTGTTTTTGCCAAAATGAAAATGAAAGAAAAGGTTTTTCAGTTCTGATCAAATTAAACACTCTGCTTGACTTAAAATACTTCATTTACCCTAGATTTTTTTTCTTCATTTCAGTTTTACATTAGATTTAGTTAGCTTAACCTCAAAATGTGTTGAAGTGAAAATTCTGAATTTTGTTTTTATAAAAATGGGTGAAAATTAACTGTCTCTTTCTTATTTCAACCCAGGCTTCATGTGTGAATTGCATTGATTTTTATACCTCAGCTTCCCTATATCAGGAAAATGTCTTGATGTCCAAAGAACATAGCAAAAATTAAATCTCATGACCATGGCAAATAGGCTAAGATTTGTAAGAAAGAAGGAATTAGGCAGATGTATGTAAATGGCAGTCTGTAAGCAGATCCATCAATTAAGAAGATTTTAAGAAGACAGACAGTCACTGGAACTTAAATTGTGAGTCCTCCAAAGATTCACCATCCTTATGATGTTCGGAGTATACTGTAGCCAGTGGGAACACACCACATTTACAACTGTGGAGGATGAATACATTCTTTTTAGATCTGCCTCTGTCAAAGGAGCTCCTTGAATACATGTCATTCCATCTCTGTTATTTTCACAATGAAAAAAAAAATAACAAATACAAGAAACGTGTCTGGGAATCAAGCAGCCCAGCCCTGCCAACATGGTACTAATTTGTTTCCAATCCACTGGCAAACTATTCTACTTAAAAAGAGGTTGGGACAGGGTGGAGGGGGGAGCACTTGTCTCAGAGAAAGAGAGAAAAAAAATTAACAAATATTTTGCAGAAGGTGAACTCAGAGGTCCTGATGCAAATCCTGAACAAATTACAGGGAAACAGAAACAGCTGGTGGGAGAATACCACTGCAGTAAGTGCACTGCCTCAAGCCCAGTCTTCCAGCACTCTTCATCTCCCAGCTTTACCGTTTCTAAATACCTTGGCAAAGAAATACTTAGAATGCGTTGCACTTATTCAAGAAAAACAAGAGGAGATCCAATTTATTTTAGGACACAACTTGAAGAGCACCTTGGGGTTTCCATGCCAGGCCTCTGTGCTTTGGAAAAACAAACAAACAAACAAAAAAAGAACAGCTTGCTACAGAGAATCATAGGAGGGAGTAGGGAAGGCAGAGCAGCCTCATAAGAAGTGCAGGTTATGATCCATGGCTCATGAATAGAGGAATACTGGTGATGTGGGTAGAGCTTGCACTTATTATCTGCTACACAATTAATGTACAGTGATTCTTTTAGTTTTTCAGACATTCTTCATAGGGCTTTCCTAAAGGAGGTACCTCTGCAGGTGCAGTGATGGGGAAACATCTCAGTGTGGCATGTGAGTGGCTCAGAGCTGTATATATCCCATTACTCCTTTACTTTCTTCTCTGTGACCAGCCTCCAAGGTTTTTATCCATCTGTTTCATGTTGCCTGTGTAATCTTTGAAAGGATGTGTTACCTTCAGCATGACTGAATTCTGGTTTGGACTGAGCTCAGATCCTACCAAAACCTAAATGTTGGGTAATGATTTTTTACTTTATATAGAACATAGATTAAGTGAAAGAAAGAGTAAGAGAGAAGGGTGAAGGTTGCAGTAATGGAAGGATCTTTACTGTTGTAGGCTATTTAATAACTGAAATCTGGAATTGCATGAGTTCTGTTTCTTACAAATCTACATACTGAGTTGTTAAGGATTCTTGAAAACTTCGGGTCCAGAATGGATGACGTTCTAGGAAAGATGCACTAGTTCATCCAGAAATGGCTGGCTCACCACAGGACTCTTCTGGCAAGACATTGTGACCTGTGTTCAGTGAGAAACTGGAGCATATCCTCCAAACGGTTCCTCGTGTTCTTCAAACATATGAGTCTGAATACTTCGGCTCCATTTACAAACAGTTAGTGGGTGGTTAGTAAATTTTTCATAGGCTGTCAATAAAAGACTAATCAGTCTGTATAGTTACAGTGTGATTCTGTAACAGCTTCTATTGATGTACTGTCTCTAATGCGGCTTGTAAATCCTTTGTTGAAGGAGACTTAATATAAAGTGTTACAATGACAATAATAATCAGAATGTGCAACCAATTCTCCCTCCTCTGCTGCCAGCAATGCTGATAATGAGCTAACAGAAGCACTGCTGATTACTGCCATGAAGCCTGCAGGGAGCAAAACCCTAAAAGCTTTTATTAGCAACACCAAGACACACTGCTGTTTCTTTCCAAACTAAAATGAATCACCTTTTCTATTTCTCAGTTGGTATAACCATTGTTCTTATTGCACTCCATTGCGTGGTATGGTTAAAAAAAAAATTAAAAAAATGATACCTGTGTTATTAATTAGCTCCAAGAACTGTTTTGAGTTTTATCTGGGCAGTTCTATTTTATTTATTTATTTGTTTCCTTTTGAAACTGAAAAATGTGGCTTTGGGACTTCAACTAGGGAAATTTGGCACATTGCTGTCTCTTCTGAGTAGATAAAGTGCTTTGGAAAATTTGAATATTGATTGCACTGGAAAATAAAATCCTGAGTTTATAAGCCAGGTAAAGAAATGGCGATACAGAGTTCTCACCACAGCCTGATCCCTGCTTCAGAGTAACCATTCCACAGGAAAAGGAGAGTCTTACTCTGTATTTGACCTGTATGTTGAGGCAGCAAACAAGAAAATCAAGAATTGCAGGGTTGAGAAGCCTTGGATTTTCTTTTTGATATGTATTAATGAAGTAAAGTATCTCTTTGTGTTCTTTATTAATTTCACAAAGGCAGTGAATGATGCAGAAATAATTCAGGTCATTGTTTGTTATAAATTTAGACTCAGAATAAAGATGAGGTAAACACTGTAGAAATGGCCTCTTGTAGAGCATGCTCATTTCAAAAACCAGAAGCTACATTAAGAACAGTGCTGCACAGTCACAGTTCTCCTTGGCTCACATGGAAGCTGTTAAGTGGCCAACACCTCCAAAAATCATGTCTGAACTGTCTCCAGCTGGGACTCAACAAATGAATAAACAGATACAGTCCCAAATGTGAGGTGGTCATGAAAACCTTGGGCTCTGAAAGTGAAAATCGCAGTAGCTTTTGGCTGCACTTTTGTTGCACACCTAAGAAACAAACCATCTATAGTTTAAAAAACGAGACACGGATGGGGGAGCCCTTGCTGTCATCTTTTTAGGTGCTCTTGAAACAGAGCCAACAGAGCAGCACAGGGGATCTTCAAGAAGCCAAAGTATTATTAATTATTATTATATTTATGTGCTAATGCTGATAATCTTAAGTAACTGTTTGTGAGAATGTTTCAGCCTGGCTGTATCCAGAAGTATTGTGTAGATGCAGTAACTGTCAAGAATATGAGCTGTGGAGCAACAAAAGCCACCTGCGTTGCTCATGAAGGTCTGGAACCAAAGTACCGGAAAGACGGGGTTACATGCCAAGAAAAGAAAAATCCATTTTGTATGTTCTACATATGGACCGAGGCATGAGGCCCATAAAGATGAAAAGCTGCCGCTAATTTTAGTGGGATGTTTCTATGACTAATGGGACGTGTCAGTTATAGGTCCTCTGGATTTGCCACAGTGCCTGCTTGGAGCTGGGGAAGAAATGTTTGATTCCCAGATGCACACCCTAGAAAACCGACGTTCCCACGAGCAATGGTGTATCTTTAAAATAATGCTGTAATGGTGATGAAAATAAAACACAGTCAGATCCTGAGCTTTCATGGCTGAAGGCAGCAATCAGTGAATCATCACATTGCCAGAGCTGACTTCATTTGCACTTTGGCAAATCTGTACAGCAAATCTGAAATCCAGGTATTATTATTTTCAGTGAAAATTCCAGCAACTGACATCTCTTGCTACTTTTCAAGTAGCCCCTAGTGAGTAGCCAATGCTAAAGGACTTTGCCATATATGCGGGAGCACAGCCACTAAAAATAGTCAAGCATGTGCCTACAAGATGGCTTAGTCTGAGGCGGGTTATAAAACACACACTGGACATGTGATTTGCTTTGCTGTCGTATTTTCTGAGTTGTGAGCAGCAGGCTGCCAAAATAGAACTCGTTTGGTGATTTCTTCAGAGCTGTAAGCTTAAAACTGGTTTTTCTGTTCTTAATTTATGTCATGGAGTCTCAACAGCAATTTAACGTGAAGCCTCAGAGTGGGGGAAAGCCAGCTACTGATGTCTGCAGGCTGGTTGAACGCATGCTGGCAGAGACCTGGAGTCAGAAGCTGCACTGGTAACTGCTTCAAAGAAGTGGCTGCTCAATCTGCAGACAGTCAGATCATTTTCTTTCAGCAGGTGACACAAGAGCTGGCACAGAAGTTTAGAAATGCAGATGGGAGCATCTGGATACTGTACCTGAGAGTTACATGGCTGACTTGATATAAATAAACAGCATAATGTATACAACTGCAATGGTTGAAAATGCAGCACAATTATTTTCACCTCCAGATAAACAGTTCATTTCGTTCATGATTTATCTTTGAAAATATAGAAAGAGATTCAAACACTATGAACTTTAGAAAATTTAAAGGAAACTTTAGTTTAAAACAATTTCAGTGTTAAAAATCACTTCCTTTGTTATCCTTGTTCTGATTAAGATGGTACATGATGGTTTTTTTCAACATGCCAACCTAGAGCTCGAAGGAGAAAATACCTAATATTTCCCAACAAACGATGCTCACATTAAATTTGTAGTCATAAGCTTCTGAAATTTGAGCTATCTTTCATGAAGCTTTGTAACCTTCTGACAGTTCTCCGATCTTTATCCACTTAAAGAGAAGGGTTTTTGTTTTGTTTTGTTTTCATATATATAGCTTGGAAATAGTTGTTTCCAAATCTGCAAAACTTCATAAATCTATTGACAAGAGAGCACCATAATAATGTGGCTTTGTTGAGAGCCACAGCAGATTTCAGACTGTAATACATCATTTTTTTACATAGAAGAAATTAGCAAGGCACATTAGAGTTTATTTTTAATGTTGCTTGCTTGATTTTGCCATATAAATCAGTCTTGACAGGAACTTGTCACAAACAGCACTGCCACAAAACTTTGCTGTCAAGAATTTCAACCCAAACATCAGTGCAGGGCTCCTAGGGGAAAAAAATAAAATAAAAAAATAAAAATAATAATAAAAAAAACGAATTCAAGAGAACCAAAGCCTATATGCTAACTATGATTAATATACTAAGCCTGAAATTGATCTTTCTGCTACTTGCAACAGCTCCTTGTGAAAGACCATTAAAATTATTCATAAAGAAGCTGTAACAGTGCCATCTGGTGATTGCTGCTGAACTTGTGCCACAACTGTCATGGGAAGAATCATACTGAGAAACTGTACAACAAATGTTTAGCTGGAGCAAGGTTGTGTTACTATGGGAGTCAAGAAACCCTACCAATAAATAATAGTTGGTGAACTAACCTAAACTAACCCTATGTTGGGCTTAGAAGGGCATCTGAATGTTTCCTAGTTGTGGTTGGATGCGATTGTTTACTTTTCTTTGATATTTTTATTCCTTTTTTCTTTTTTTTTTCTTCCATTTCGTGAAACTTTCTCATGATCCAGAGATTCTCCAAAATGGCTCATCCATGTCAAAGACTAAACCCTTATTTTTTGTGAAAACATCAGTTCTCCATAGTGTGTGCAATCTGCGTTTTTAATGTCTGTACTTTTGAAAAATAAATAATAGAAAAGTTATTGATGGAGCTTTGTTTAAAAAAGAAAACAATAACCAACAAACAACACCCCCCCCTCAAAAAAAAAAAAAAAAAAAAAAAAAAAAAAGCGCATCTCATTTCCTAATTTGTAGTCTAGGTCTAGGTGGAACTCATTTTGTTCTAATTTTCTGCTTACTATGTAGGAACCAACATCTGAGCTAGTCATTGGGGATATCCTTTATTGTTAACAGAGATAAAGTATATTTACAATGTGAAGAATCTGACCCATTTTTATATCTACTTGCTAAATGAATCACCATGAACCCTGGAACTACCTACCTCCAGCTGCTGAGCTAGTGCTCAGCACAAGGGAGGGAACATAGGGAAACTTTCTCTGCTGCAATCCTTCAGACTATAGCTGGCTACACTGAGCCTGACAAATGCCACCCCACTGCATGTACAACAATTCTTGTCTCTTCCTTGTAAATAGCTTCCCGGGCTTCTTGATATCACTCACCTGCATAGCTGATGCTGCACAGAGCAGAGCTGGCTTTGGGTTTGTTTTGTCAGCAGCACTGTTTTAAGAACACCATCCTGGAAACAGTGCCTTCAGGAGGGCTGGAGGAAACCAAGCAGAAGGAAGACACAGGGCAAACACTCCTGCTGCACAGACAGGATCTCTTCCCAAAAGCATATTTGAATCAAGGCAAGACAGGAGGAATACAATTGCCTTGCCACTAGACCTACAAGAATGTGGAGGATCCGTGACAGGGAAGTTGTTTTATGAACTAAGGAGAGCCTACAAGCCCATGTATTAGCCATATTAGGGAGCCTGTGCACACACCATTATGTTGTACCACCCTGAACTATGTTGACATGGGCCTGCTACACAGCACTGGGAACCTCTGGTTTGGTCTCTAATTGTACGATTTTCTTCTTGCTGCTGTTTCCCATTCTGTAATATTTTATTTTATTTTATTTTATTTTATTTTATTTTATTTTATTGCCCCACATGTTTGATGGTCATCAAGTGCAGGCATTTTTTTACTTTGGAAATAGATGCAGGGAAATCTAAGCAGCTACTGCCCATGACCTAAAGGCCACCCATAGCTCTTAATTCAAATTCTTTTTGCAGCATCTACATATATGAGCAGCTACGGAGAGCAGGTGATCCAGTCAACTCTGTCTTCAGCTGTTAGAAGACAAAAAATGATATTATGGCCATTACTTATTTCTGTTTCTCAGTTATTCATGTGCCTGACCCATGGTCTCTCTTCCGCCCACCACACCAAATTTATGTGCACATAACATATTCATGAAAACCTAAAGTGTATCATTTTCTGCCAGCCAGCCTACATTGAATAAATACAAAAATGAGACTATGTTACAGTGTGGGAAGTGTGATATCAAAAATATGTGCATAAGTAAGGGCTCACCTCGTAATTCATGTGTGAGGGAATGAATATGACATAGCTAAGAGTTTTCATTGTTAATTTTTTTTCAGGCAGATTTTAATTGTTAACATGCAGGAGCTGTGGCTATGTGTGGTCCCTCTCCCATCTTCCACTTTTGGCAGTGAGAGAGAGTTGGTGAGGAACACTGAGTCTGAGCAGACTGTGATGCTCTTGAATCACCCACACAAGCACTTACAGAGATGGAGCTGTTAAACGAGCTAAAATTCCCCCACCGACCACTGCTGCAACCACAGAACTGGTGTCTCTCAGGGCAGCATCCCTGCCTTTGACTTCTCAGCCCCAGCAATGTTTGCTCAGACCAGAGCCCTCTGGTACAATATGGCAAATCTTGTGGTTTACTGCCTACAAACCTGGTCCTGCTGCTGTCAGCCATGGAGATGCCCACGTTGCCTTTGATGAAGAGGACTGGAACACACATCACTGATTGAAGAAGCCTGTTATGATTCTAAATGTCTTCTACAGTGAGTTTCCCAATTAAACTTGGGCATTGTAATGCACTATAGGCATTGTAATTGTAGCTACAGATGTTCTGACTTTCAGAAAAGATTTCCTTATGTGTTGTAATGCTGCATACTCAATGTGAAAAACAATCCCTTTGCTGAAAAATTTCTTTCTGTACACATCCTTCAGTTTCAGCCTAAGTTTTGTTGCTGTTGTTTTCAAAGTTTTTGTTTGTTTGTTTGTTTGTTTGTTTTTTATAAAGCAAAATAGAAAATATTTCTTCAGCCACTCTGATAAAGCATGATAAGCCTGTTGTGATGACTTGGTATTTTACCAGTATTTTCTCTATAAGGCTTTAATAAGCTTTTCTTTTCAGTGGCTACTTCTGATTTTTTGCAGAATCCAATTAACTCTTACCTGACCAATAAGCATATGAATAGCTGTGAGGAAACTGGCATAGCAGAGTCTGTCACATTGAAATTCGCTTATGAACACATTCTTGGTTCTTGTGGTTTTACGGTTTTCAGCAATACTCATGCTGAATTCTGTTATATTTTTGTAAATTATACTTAGAAATAGCAAAATCCTTTTCTTTCTTAATGTTGAAAAGATACAATTATCAAAATGTTATCTGATGTGATGTGGCACTGTGAAACCAGTCTTGCAGAAAATTGATTCCAGCAAGCAGTAGTCCTGGTAATGGTTTCCACTCACCCTTCCATTCTCCATCTCATGTAAAAGACTTTTGAAGTTCAAAATCTATTTGGTGCTATTTAAATAGAGAAATTATCAAGCACAGCAGCAATTTCTCTACTTACTTTTTTTTTCTTCTTTTTTTTTTCTTAAAAAAAAAGGCATCATTAAAAAAAAATGTGAATAGCTTTGAGAAAATTTTGCATTCCCTGTTGTATATAAATGGTATATTATGCCTGCTTATAAAATAACTTTAAATTTCTTTTTAACAACTTTTTTTTTTTTTTTTTTTTTTTAACAAAATGCCTTATAAACAAAAAGAAACAGGGTAATTATATTTTAATGAAAACTCAAAAAATCTTCCCCTTTTCAATTTTGCTCATGTGAATGGCAAATGCATTAAAAGCTCTAAGCAGTCACAGTATGCCTGCAGCCCATCTCTTTTTCAGTGTATGACTTTTCTAAATGAAAATAAAGAAAGACCAAAAAAAAAAAAATAGTAGTTATATAAGAGATGAATGTTATCTACAGTGGATATGCTTTTATACAAGCTGACTGCACACCTGGATAATTCTGAAAGCCTCTGGAAAATCCAGAAATATGTTCTGATAATTGCTCAGCATGTGTTGCAGTGGCTTAGGGATAGCATTATTGCAGAAATGTGATGTTCCTAGCATGAGAGAGAGATTAGAGAAATATCATTGCTGGGAATCAGGTAAATACCTTTTTCCACCTTCATAGGAAAGATAATCATTTTAGATAAGATTTGGTTCATGGTCTGTGGTGTTTTGTTTGCTTGTTTGTTTATTATTATTATTATTATTATTATTATTATTATTATTATTATTATTATTATTATTATTATTAGAACCTGAAATAAGAGCCTGAGAGGGAACAACTGTCTCTTGAAAGGCTGCAGATGTATAGTCACCAAAGATATAACTGCATTAAGCGGAGATTCTTCCTCTACTAAAGAGAGAAAAAGGGCAAAGCTGAGTGAAAGGAGAGTTTATACATTCTTCCTTGAGTTAGTTGTGTTTACAAGAGAGAGGCAGTGCTTTGCAGAGTGTGAGTCTTGGAGATATTCTGAGAACACTTATTGCATGTGCTGATCCAAATGCCTGCAATTATGGTACATGCTGCACTTTTTGATTTCATAAGCATTCATAGACCAGATAGATATCATCCACAGGACTGAATAACGTAACTGAGCAGAACCAGAACTGTTTCTTGACATAGTTCAGAGATGTTTTGAAAAGACTGAAGTACTGTCATCTTCTTCAGGGCTAAAATGTCCAGGTGGTGCACTTTATATATTATGGGTAGAAAGCTCAGGGGGAGTACATTTAGATGTGAGGACTAAAATGTGTCCTTTTCAATATTGCTGGAATAGCTTTCTATATCCACTTGAATGTATTGCCATATATGTAAGAAATGATGCAATGAAGTATGTGTGAGCAATTTATGCCTTATGTTTAAAATCACCTATTCTAGTCCCTATTATATTCGTAATATTTACGCTTCATATAATGCTTAACTATAATAATAACTAAATAATAACATATAATGCTTAACTAATAATAACTAAATAATAACTGGGTGCATTAGACACTTAAAAAACAAACAAACAAAAAAAAAAACATTTTTGAAAGTGTGAAAATTGGGAATTTGCAGAGTTAACTCTGAGAGGCTTAATACTGCCTTCCCTATTTCCCCTGAGTTTTGTCCAAGAGTTACTGTGATATATAGTGGGGAAAAAAATGGAGCCAATGTACTTACATGTGAAAACACATTCCCTTAAACAAATTAAAAAAAAATACTCATAATAATAACTTGTCTTCAGCATGTATTCTATAGAAGCCTGGCTATACCATTATCCTCCAAAAATCCTTAAACTTAATCCTTAAAAGTCACTGCACCAAGCCTGTCTGAATTTAAAAAGTGATTGAACTGTGCACTTAGTCACATGGTCTAAACTTTTGGGCAGACCTGTGCGGTGCCAGGAGTTGGACTTGATGATCCTTATGGGTCCCTTCCAACTCGGGATATTCTATGGATCTATGAAACTCATTTAATTTATGCAGCCCTGAACCTGTATGCAGCAGAACTCATGCAGGCATGAATGTCATCAGCATTGTGAGGTCATGGCAATTTATGATAACTAACACTAGAGAAAACAAAAGAAAAATATTTAATCAATTATACAGACACTATTTCTTCATTCAAGAAAGATCTTGTCTGCTTCCCTTTCTTCTTCTGCAATCAACATCTATGCAAAATGCTGTATTGCCTCAAAGTTAAGACTTCTCTATTGCACCACAAGCAGCAAACGGTGCAGTGGCTCAAAATTTGCTAGGTGTTAACCAAGGACAGTGACTTGGGTGTCTGAATAGTTAGGTGTTCCTCAGATTTTCTGTGGTATGCAGGCAGGAAGCAGAGGAAGGCACTAATAATCCAAGAGGAGGCCAGGTCCTACCAGACAGCATCTGCTATACCTTGGATCTGCAAATAGGGTCAGCTCACCTTGCTGTTAGACTTTGGACCTCTGCAAAACATTTTTCTTTTCCTGAAATCTTTAGCAATGAAAACAAGAACTTATGGTAGGCAATTTCTCTGGTCTGTTCAGGTGTGTGCTCAAGAGTGAGTTATGCTGGACTGTGGCCATACCTGCCCTTCCCCACCCATGGCATGGAGGCACCATAGAGTGGTGCCTACACTGTAGATGTCTAAAGTTAGGTGAAACTGATCACATCCTTTCTGGCCTGTTGTGACCTTGAGCCAGGGAGGTGGGTCACTTGGACCATGCTTGCCCAGCACAAGTACCCCAGGCCCATCACTTCAGACACCTGTGGGTGTCTCAGGGGCTGATGGGGCGGCAGGGAAACACATTGACCTGTGCTGGGGCACCAAGCAAAGCTTTGGCCTCTGCCCTACAGCACCTTGGCCAACTCGCTGTCCCCTGTCAGGGTGGGGGGACACTGCCCACCAGGACATCTCAGGTGCAACCTCTGTGGTGTGACGGGCAAAACCCCAGTGGTGTAATGGTCAAGAACTTGAGTGGCAAAGCTTTTCAAGGCAATTTTCTTTCGCTGGTAGGCAGGAGGCGCCATTTAACAGCTTGTGAAGGGGACAGGAGTCAAAAGGCCCTGGCAACAGCTAGGCCCCTGCCGGGGCATCCCAGTCCCACAGCAGCCCCGCGGCCCCTTGGGGCGCTCACACGTCCGGGCACCGGCATCAGCTCGAAGGAGAAAATGTTTTCCACCTCCAGAAGCTGCAGCTACAAGGCTGTGGGTACGGCAGAGCCTGAACCCTGCAGCTGTGTAGCCCCTCTGGCCCCTGCTTTGTGGGGCTGCACTGCTCAGCCCCCTGAAACCGAGGCAGGGAAACACGTAGTGGGGGTACATGTCCCAAGCTTGGCAGAGGATTAAAAAATAATAATAATAATCAGCAAATGCATTGAGTGTGATCATGGGAATCTCATCTAAAAGTATAGCAAACACTCCTTACTGTGTGTTTTACCTCTTTGAAGTCTTTTAGCATGGGGGATATTTTCATACAACTGATATTGAGGAGAGATGCTAACACAAACATTACCACCTGGCAAAAGCCGACCAAATAAGCTACAGATTAAATGGGGTGGTATTCTGCCCGCTATGTTCTAGGAATTGATCTGCTCTTCTGCATGAAAAGTGTCATGGTTTCTTTATGTAAAAAAAAAAGTTAATGGGAGAACATTTTTTTTTTTTTTTAAACTAATATCCTATTATCAGGTTAGAAATTTTTGAAAATATGTTTGAGGACTTTTTCATTTATATAGTCCATAGTCTTTACATGTGCTTAGGAAAGAGGAGAGGTAGAGGAGAGGAGAGGAGAGGAGAGGAGAGAGAGGAGAGGAGAGAGAGGAGGGAGAGGAGAGAGAGTTGAGGAGAGGCGGGAGAGGAGAGAGAGCGAGTCGATGGGTGTCGAGGGAATTCTCGCTGAGGAGAGGCGAGGTAGAGGGATGCTGCTTTCTCTTCTTTATTGCCTCTTCTCTTCCTTACTACGTCTCTTATCTCTTCTCTATTTCTGTCTTTCCTTCTCTTCTCTTCTCTTCTCCCCCCCCCCCCTCCCCCCCCCACCCCCCCCTCTTCTCCTCGCCTCTCCGCTTCCGCTCCGCCCTCTCCTCTCCTCCCTCTCCGCTCCTCTCCCTCCTCTCCTCTCCTCTCCTCTCCGCTCCTCTCCTCTCCTCTCCTCTCCTCTCATCTGCCCTCCTCTCCTCCCTCTCCGCCCTCCTCTCCTCCTCTCTCTCCCTCCTCTCCTCGCCTCTCCAAGAGAAAAAGCCCTCTCCCTCCAAGAGACCGTCCTCTGTCCTCTTCTCACCCTCGAGATCCCTCCCCTGCCTCTCCTCTCCTCTCCTCCTCCGAAGCGATCTCCTCGCCTACCCTCTCCTGCCTCTCCCTCCTCTCCTCTCTGAAGCCTATCCTAGAGAAGAGAAGAGAAGAGAAGAGAAGAGAAGAGAGGGTTGTTCAGCAAAATTTTCCTTTAAAAATAAAAGGCATTTTCAGCTCAAAATAATTTAGCAGCAGGAAAACAAAAGTATGTAACTGTAGCAAGTAGTTAAACCACATGAATAAATTTACTCACCTACACAGCATGATTTCCTTGTTTGCATAAAGTTTATGAACTGCTCATAGCGTGGATTTCTGGTAAAAAACTGATTTATTTCAGCAGAGTAATCCTAGTGCAAAATTAGTATAAGAGCAGGGTAGGTGTCTGGCTTCACTGATTCCTGATTTACATCGCGAGCCAGCGGAACTGAACTCTGACATTTCTTCTTAAACATGCTTAGTATTAAATGAAACTGGCTTGTTTGACCTAACGTTGTTCGCTGTTCACCAGAGATAATATTAAACTCTGTCCTGACACACACGTACATTAACCCAGATGATCCTAAAGGAAAGTTGAACTTGTGCATACATTAGAGGGCAGAATTCACCCCCGTACTTCTAATAACCAGAAATTTCAATTACGTAACTGGTACACAAAGTATTTTAGATCAAAATGATTGCTGAATAAAAGTAAGCTCTTTGCTGGCTTTATCACTCAGCCAAGTCAATTGGAAAGAATGTATAAACTTCACCTTTTGCTTACTCCATCTGCCTGTTCCTCAAAAGTTCCCTCTGCATAAACCTTCCTCTGGTATTTGTCTACTGCACAGCTACACTGTTGTTTTGTGTGTGATTTTTGTTTGTTTGTTTGTTTTTCTAATTTTATTTTATTTTATTTTTTCTTCATTTTAACCACAACCATCGATTCTAATAAGAACTGGCATTCTGTTGAGATTTTGTAAGATAATACTGTTTTTTAAGGTTTATGCTTTGGGATGACTGTAAAACCAGCAAAACCTGTGCCTTGGAGAGGTTTGGGAAGGCGCAAGGTGCTAAGTGACATCCTCCACCACAGCCACCCTCTGGGACACAAGGAGTTTAGGGGTGCAGGACTGGCTCTCTCACTCAGCCACCTGGTAGAAATACTCAGGGTGTTGGGTTTTGCTTTTTTTCCAGTGAATTTTCTCACTGGTCGAGGATTCAGATGAGAGCTCATCTAAGGCTTTTGCAAGCTGTGGATTTTCTGCTGACCCACGGGGGGAGCTGCAGGCTGTGGCAAGCCTCCCCCTTCCCCGGCTGATGGGGACGGTGCGGAGAGGTGTCTTCTTTTAACTCGGTAAATCACTGCTTGGAATAAATAGCCTGCGATGGAAAAACAGTAACCCAAAAAAACGATGAGGAGCTGAAGCTCTTTATTTTCCACCTACAGCTGAGAATGTGTTTGATAAGCAACACCTAAAACATGTTAGGAAGGAGACAGTTTGTTTGTCTGAGTGTGACTTTCTTGGCAGCAGGATTTCTCCCTAATTTATAACCATTATGTAAACTTCTGACTTCCAGATTCACACTGTGAAAATATTCAAGATGAACTAATCAGGGTGGAAATCTGAAATTGTTTCTGCATGGTTTATATCCCCCATCTGGCAGCGCAGAACAAACAATACGACCCTGATGGTGTTTACATGAGTTACCTTGTTGGAGGAAATGATCCTACTTAGAAAATTGTCCTTGCTCTAGAAATTTAACAACTTGCTGGCCTAAACAAGCCTTTATATCTTTTTAATCTTTTTTTTTTTTTTTTTTTTTTTTGCATATGTTTGAGGAGAGGGAAGTTATTAACTGTGAATTGGAGCTTTCGCACCACATCTGCCTTTTAACTGTGAGCCTAGCTTAGGTTAAATGTTCAAAAGCTACACTTGGTCCCTCTGCTTGCTTCCTACGGGGAACTGAACTGGTGATCGTTCTCAGAAATCCCTGATAGCATTATTACCTATTAAGACATTCAGTGTGGCTGTTTTCTTGGCTGTCAGCAGTTTCTAGAGGCTCTGCAAATGCAGTGTGCCCATTCAAAAAGCAGAAACGTGCTCTGTGATTTTAATTTCACTGCAGCCTAAGTGGAGTTTCACTATAGCAAAGTTTCATACAGCCAGTTTTCATGGGGTGGGACTGGATTTGCAGTTTTGTCGTTCACTAATATATATATGTACATATACTTAGGGAGGGTTAGAGAATGGAAGGAATAGCTTGACAAATGATAAGTATGATAACAAGAGAAATTTGTCTTCACAAACTCTGGAATTTTCAGCAACTTAAGAAGCGAAATTTTATTTCTGCCACTGCCTTGCAGTGCAGAACATTTTACATGTTTGTAGCAGAGAGTCTGAAGCTACGGAAATGTTCCAGAAAAAAAATGTAAACACATAACATGAGAATTCATGTTATGAGAATTATATTCATACCATGAGAATTCATTATCCTTAAATTGTTTTAGAAAGTATGGTAATTTAAATTAGAAATATTTCACAAAGTTAATAAGGGGAAAAATATGCTTTTTTTTGCTTTTTTTTTTTTTTTTTTAACCCTAAAATAAATATGGCCTTGTGTAGTGATCTATTTCAAGTTTTTTGGCTCTAGTTTGTATTATTCTGTAGCTTTCATTTGGCTTTCTAATGATCACAGTGAATTGATGGGATATGACTATGTCATGTGAGCTATCCAAAAATAATTGATGGAATTATATTACAGTTTTTTTACTATGAATTATACCAATGTTCTCCCAGAAAAATAAATAAATAAATAAATAAATACTCCTGGACACACACACACACACATATATATATATATACATATATATATATATATTTAAGGCTTGTCTTTGAGGCTGAAGTTTAAAGTTATTTTCCAAAAACTTAAAATTATAATTAAAAAGTGAGTTTTCTTTCATTTTAATATAAGGATCCAAAATAATGCATACATTACATTAAAAGTTTGGCAGATATTATTCAGTTACTTTTTTTAATCAAAATCGAATTTTTATGATGAATGATTTAAATTGTCTCATATTTCTTAGCTTGAAGTTTTAAGAAGATTTTAAGGAAAACAATATATCCAGTATCCCAAGGTGATACTGCATTAAGATCTGGCTTGTAAATAAAGTAAATATTTAGTCTGGATTTTGCTTATTGGTGTGTTTTTATTTATTTATTTATTTATTTTTAATGAAAGAAATATTTGCTGTTGGAAAGAGCTGCAGCTATATAAAGCAGGAAAAAGATCCTACACCAAAGAAAAAGTAGGATCCTACAGCAATGCAAAAATACCATTAATTTAAGGAAGGAGAATTGGGTCAAATTATGTAAAGGAAAAAACAGGAGCTTTCAGACATGAGACAAAAATTTATATGCTGAATGCAGTGCAGTGTTAGAGAGATCCTGAGGGTGTTTGAACATGACAAAGCTTTAGGAACTGGGAGACATGCAAGAAAGTTGTAAACATTTCAAAAAATATTTCCAGCTGATCTAAAAGACTGAATTACATATTACTCAATAGAATGCAAGGAAATAAAATTAAGAGATTTCTATGAAAGTACTTTTTGTCTCATTTATATTTCTACCGTGAAGAATGCAGATTTTAATTTTCGATCACAAATTTTTTTTTTTTTTTTTTATTTAACTCAGAGCTCAACAGCAACTGATTATGAAAGCTGCAAGGGCTATTTTAAAGCACATAGTTACTTAATATTTGGTGACATGAATACTCTTATCTTTACTTATAGGAAACGTAAATTCTGGGGGAAAAGAAAACCTGGAGAATGTTGAGTAATAACTAAAATAATAGGGTAGACTGAGTGTTAATTTCAAATCCTTTACACGATGAAAACAAAACAAAACAAAACAAAACAAAAAGTGAAGGTAAACTGCTGTTTAACAGCTTTCCACTGTTATATAAACTTTCAAACAACCATGAAATGTAGGTCTCTGGACATCACTTAAAAGAACCACAAATAAACAGAGGGTCGTACCACACTTCTGTTCCCTAATGTGTAACTAAAAGGTTTAGCTAAGAACAGAAAGTGTCTAAAACCTTTTTGTTTATCTACCGCCTTGTGTACCATAAACACAAATAAGCAAAGCGGGGCTGGAGCAGGGAGGTGGGATGCTGCCTGGCTGTGAATAAGGCTCGGAGGAGTTAAAGAGCCCGTTAATGTCTCTGGAGGGTCATCTTACCTTTGTGCAAGCAGCAGACTGGGACATTTATGTACCAAGGAATCACCTACTTAAAAAATAAGGATGCCGCACTTAACACTCCTGTGCCAGAACATCCCTGGGGACTTGTATATTTTTCATGGAAATTTGCTTAAGTGTAACGGTTTAGTAATTACTGGAGACTTAGTATAATGGTGTCCTTTTAACAGAGTAAGACACAATCAAGGCTGTTAAACATAATGTACCTTCAGGCTGCAAGACTGCATCCTCTTCAGACTTACTGGGATCATGACCAGAAGTTTGTAGGGGTACTTAACCATGCAAAATTCCTCTGAAATTGAGGCTGCAGTTTCCTCTTGGGAGGAAGTGGTGGTACCTCTGTGTTACAGGTTCTGCACAGGCTGGTGATATGTTTCTGGAGAGAAACTCCGTTCTTGGTGATGGCACAAACCCACTACCAGAAAAAACATCACCAGCTGTCAGTTTACACTGATGCAGACTAAGGGTTATGCAAAGGAAATTACTCCAGAAGCACATTGGTGCAGAAGGATTTTTTTTGCTCCAAAGATAATACTTGCAATACGCTTATCCCTTGACACCAAAATGCTATATGTATACAAATAAAATAAAATAAAACCCGAAAGCAATAATCCTACAAAGATCATTTTTCTTGTGTCTTACTAGAAAACTAATACCCTCTGCACCCACCTCCAAAAATAATTTAAAAAAAATAATAATTTAAAAAATCAACTTATTTTGGTTTAATATAAAAAGGTGCTTAGGCACCATGGTGTTGAGAAGTATCATAAATCCAATAGCCCAGTGAATGTAGCATGTTTAGGAGAAAAGTGAAACTTCTGGTACAGACAGAGTATTTAATATCTATTGGGGTATAGGCTTCGTTAAATTGCTCATTATGGGAAATGAGGTACTTATATGTGCAACAATGAAGTTGATATATTTGTGTACACATTATTTATATATCTATGTAATATGCATGTGATAAATTATCAGTATGTAGACATCTTTTAAAACCTGTTACTTATCTCAGTGTTGGTCATGTAACCTAAGAAGGAACTGAAGACATAAGCTGTAGCAATGGTGGTTATACAACACCTCAGTGAGAGCAGAACATTTCATAGATGTCACTACACCACAAGGCTGAATGCAAGCACCTTGACTGCTTGCAGATTTCATTTGGGTTATAAAGCAAGGTGTGTGTGTGTGTGTGTGTGTGTGTGTGTAGCAAGGATTAATCAAAGGATGTATTTGCTCACATTCTTCCTGTTTACAGGAACATTTCGTGGCAGGAATTCACTGGTGACATTTCTAGAGCAGTATTGTAGGCGGGAGACTGTTAAAGGGTTACCAGCTGTAGAATGAAGTAAATAGCATGCAAGTGACCCAATAATAATGCAAATTGCAGAAGGAATATATAGAGGAACAGAAAGGAAAAAATATATTCCCCATCTGGGCAGTTATTGAACATTTTGGACCATGGAACATGCAAAATGGGGTGGAGCAGAGATTTTCCTGGCTTG